GACTTGAATTAAAGTTTGTCTATCGGAAATCACAGATTGACAGGGAGTGTCATGTCGCATGCATGGAGAGTGCTTAAATATTTGTCTCCACCCCTCCCCATAGTTCCATTATCCTGTGTGGATCTAGCTCTACTCTTCATTATGTTCCAGTCTGCGTCTCAGACATGTCCTTTGCCGAGTTGATCACATTATGATCTTTTTACCTATTCTAAGTTCACTGTTGTAAAGATTCGCAGTTTTAGATAAAAACTCAAATTCTCTTTAAGGTGTCATATGGATTAAGTCAACTGTCTACCAAATCATGGAGATTGGGGTTACTGCCATCCCCCCACAAGTTAGAGATCACACTTTCAATGCTTAGACTGGGGAGGCAGAACACTCACCGATCTAGTAGAGTGCACCTTGACAGGAAAGAGTGGAACCCAGTCTGAGTCCACAAGTTTAAATGATTGGCTGAGCCACAAAAGACAGTAGAATGAAAGCAAGGGGCGACCTTAATGGACCATATGGGATGATCAGTCTTTCTGAAAGCAGTGTCAGGCTTGTATGCAAAGCCCCATCCAAACAATGGAGGGATATTTGCTTTTGGTGAACTGGAACCAGGCAGAGATGTTAGTAGAGAGGAAAGTAATGGGTTCAAAGCGTGATTTCTAAAGAGCAGGATGATCCAGCTTTAGATCCCACAGAGCCACAGCGGAATGAAGAGCCCTATTGGGAACGCCCCATACAAAAGCCTTCATCAATGGGTGAGAGACTAAGTGTCATAGAAACAAGATAGAAAGAGCAGAAGCCTGACCTTTGATAGTGGTGAGAGCCAAACCCTGGTCCCAAACCAAGCCCTTTCATGATAAAACAAGGAATTTCAAGGTGCCCAGCAACCAATGGAAATGGAGGTAGCATCTAGGACTTTTCCAGACCTGCCGACTCGCAAGTCAATCTTGACCCAAAAAAGCACTTGCATCTAACTTGCTACCACAATGAAGTTTGGAAAGCACCCCACATGGCACCCAGTCAAGTGGAAGACTGACATCAGATAGCTGCAATTGGAGACCAGCTCTAGCAGCAATGTCGAGTTGAATTTATTCAAGAAAAATGATGGTGCTAGTGGTGCCAAGTAGAGCTGCAGCTAACGATTATTTTCAAAATCGATTAGCCGATTATTAAGTTCGATGAATCGGATAGAAAATAAAATACATTTTTAAAAATGGCTCCGGTGATGGGACTGCTAGTTTGTATTGAGATTGCAGTCCATCACAGGAGCAAGCTTGGACCGGTGGAAGTAAAAAAGAAAAAAAAGATAGTGTGGTGTGTGGAGCATGGATGCGGGCGGGTCTGAGGTGGGGAGGAGGTGTGGCGCGCAGCGTGTGTGGAGCCGTGAACAGGGGCAACCAATCGGAAGCCGATTAATCGATGATTGAAATAGTTGACAACTTTTTCAATAATCGATTATAATCGATTATGTCGATTAGTTGTTGCAGCCCTAGTGCCAAGGTATGCCAGTAGTAGGAGGGGATATCATGGGGCTGGCCTAAAGTAGTGTCTGCAGCATAATCAGAAGATGAGACTTCTTGTGACCCTCAAATGGCCAAGAAAGAAAATGGTTTACTTCTATGGCTGGCACAACATGGCCCACCAACTGGCAGAGCTTCCTAAGCATGTCAAAGGCACATGCCCCGTAGACCCACAACCCTACACAATACAACCCAGATGTGCTGTAAAGATGCAGTAAGGACAAAAGTTCCTTAAAGCTTCCTGTCCCTTGCTGTAGTTCTCCTCTGTCCAACAGATGTGGTCATTATTGATTCTACAATCCAAAATTACTTGTCACTTTCCTAGCCTGACAACCTAAACCATTTAGAGCCCTCTGTTACTACAACAGTTGTCCTGACTCCGCTGCCATAAAACAGTGCATGTTTTAAAGTATCCATATTATAGGTTGTTCCATATGCAGATTAATGCACAACGTAATGGTCAATAACACAAGCCTAAAATTCAGGGTAGGCAAGATTTGTTTCATAGAAATTGGCAGCTTTCTTAGCCATTGACAAACTATATTGTAACCTTGTTGGGGGGGAGAACCAAGCTGGATTGTACAAGAGGCCACTTCATAGTCACTATACTGGATTGTACAAGAGGCCACTTCATAGTCACTATACTGGATTGTACAAGAGGCCACTTCATAGTCACCATACTGGATTGTACAAGAGGCCACTTCATAGGTCACCTTTCCACAAAGTGGCAAATTTAACCTACACTCTTGAAGAGCTCCAGGCACTGCCGCTAGCCAACACTTCTGGGTATGAAAATAGGTCCAATGAGCTGGGTGCTGTGGTTCCTCCAGTCAGGACAGTAGTAAATTAGGGAATCGGAAGGAAATGTACAACCAGCAGAAGACCTGGAAATGTAGGATAAAACCAGTACCTGGGGAGTTCAAGACAGTTTGAACTTGCCGCAAACCAGAAAGGCAAGTATGAATATCTGGCTTGGTTTTATATGCTCCCAATAGAGTCCCTTCTAATTGACCCTTCTGGTTCTAAACATTTATTCAACATTTAATACTAATTTCAGTGCTATGAGCTGTCTAGATGGACATAATTTTCAGTCAGTTAAATGGTAATAAAACGCCGTTTAGCAGTATTTAGAAATGTTCAGGACTTGACAAGTGCTTTCTAATTTACATGATTCTCAAGGCCGTCTACCAAGGACCGCCAATTTAGAACATTCAGAAACTGCTCTTTAAGACCAACAAGCCCCAAACTGGTAATTTATTAGGGATGACCACGTTAGACCGATAACCTATTAATTCTGCTCCCTTAGCTTTTTGGATTTTAACATATGGTGGGTCGAGGTCTACTTTCCCAACAGGCAACTAGCTGGACAGAATATGCACTCAAGTTTAAGGCAATGACCAGGTTAACTGATAGACCAAGAATATACTTCATAACCTGCACTGCGCCACCTCTCCGCTACGTAAGCCCACCCTGGGTAAACTCTGCCACCAGTCCTTAGTGTTGACATCACTGGCCCCACCCTGTGACAGCATTTAGGGATGGCAGTATACCAGCAAGCATAACTGTCAGAGAAACTGTGCAAGGACTCTAAGTGGGGAGGTGAGGCGTGACAAGCATAGATTGCTGCGGGGCTACAAAGTGACAGTCACTTTGACTTGAATGAGCCAAATGTTACTAAAGGTGCCACTCAACAGGCTGCCAACATGTGCCCACTAAGAGGACTTCTATTCACTTTAAAATGTTATGAAATGTGCCATCTAAACAAGCCCATGCATATGTTCATGCATCTATTTAAGTGAACTGGTAATCACCAAGTAAGTTATGCCTCCAAAGCAGTCTCTCAACCAGGGTTCTGTTGAACCTTAAGCTTCCTACAGAGGTAGGACAGGGTTACTTTAGCTGACCACATACATGGGCATTTTTCTAAAGAGCACCAGTGTAATGATGCACTTCTCCCAGTGAAAACCAATGTAAGGTAGTCTTCCCAATGACCACCAATCTAAACCTAAGCAGACCCTTCACTGGACCACCAATGCAAGGGGCCACTTTGCCAGCTAAGTAAAAATTGTTGTTCCTTTACATGTTTGAATTTTTCTGGCCATTTTATTACCATTACTTACGGCAGGGGTAGCCAAACTCCGGCCCTCCAGCTGTGGTGGAACTACAAATCCGTGAGGCATTGCAAGATTCTCACAGCCACAGACATGACTCCTGGAGAGAGAGATGCATCATGGGATTTGTAGTTTCACAACAGCTGGAGGGCCGGAGTTTGGCTACCCCTGACATACGGTCATAAAGAGGAGTTGTCAAAAACGCAAAGTAAGCCACATTCCTTTATTCTTAAAACTTACTGGTCAAGCTAGTGTACCTTGAAATGGAGCCATAATTGGCAAGGGTATCCCGATACCTAGTTTAGTTGTTCTCCATGTTGAAAGGTCTTAAAGCAACACTATTACTATTGGTCCAATACTATGATGGACAGTTTGACTGAACAGTGAGGCGTAGGGACAAGTACAACTTCCGAAACTGAAATACCATTTTGCATATTAAGACACACCAGGCATTAGAGCATTCCACTAGAGGTGTATACCGTACACATATGGAATATATACAGTTCACTGTAAAAAGCACACCACTTTCCCCTCAGCCCAAACATTTGTGCATAGACTCAGAACCACCCCTACCTACAGATTACAATCTCATCATTGGTTTCCAAATGTGATCAGTCTGCAACCCATCCAACAGGAAAGGAGCAAAGAGGGATCAGAAGGTTTGTGTGACAGGGATTGGTGGAGGTTTAAAGCAAGGAATAAAATAAGGCACAGTGTTCCAAACACAAGTGTTAGTGATAGTGAGTGCAAGCTCCCGCTTCAAATATCACTTCGACTAGTTCATTCCACCTACTGCATCTGTAGGCTACAAGTAGGCACTTCGGTAGAACAAAATGTTTAGTCATCTCTGTACATGCAGACATAAAAAAGGTGCTGTGAGGATAAAGTGAGGAGGCACAGGTAAGGAGTGTGACTGCATTCGAGCAGGGGTCTGACTACCCTCAAGTCCAACATCCCTGAGACATGAAGTGCAGGAGACAGAGCAATGCTAGATGTGAGCCCAAGTTACCTCTGTGTACGCACTCGCAGGTGAGTGTACAAAGCAGAGGGATTGCAGGAGAATGACTGATGAGCCAAATAAACCCATTTAAGACAAAGCTCCCATTCTACAAGCTCCCAACCTAAAAAGTTAGAGGGTTTGCAAGATGTCTTATTATGGGACCTTGTGCAGGCACAAAACAGCTCACTCCAAATAAACCTGGGCTACAAACAGCTAGAAAATGCCACCCCAAAAAGGCCAAAAGCTCCACAATAACCCATAAAAGCAGCCCAATCAGATGCGTACTATCAGCAGCAGAAGGGAGCTTCGACCCATCTTTGATAGCCCTACAACACAGCTTTATAATGGATTCACCAGCAGTGAGTGCGTGCAATGCCCACAGGAGGGTAACAATGGGTAGCTAGCACCAGTGATAGTTAAGGATGTTGAAATGAGGCTCTGATTTTTATTCTAGAACATTTTACAGATCTAGTCACAATAATCCACAAGCGTGCAGGCAGAGGGAGGTGCAGCGGTGGGTCCAGGTCCTGGAAAGATGATGCTTGATTCCACTTTAAACCTGTGGAGAGAAAAAAAAAGTATTAGGCTGGACTTTTGAAAGCCAATATCCACCTGTATTACAAGTCTATAGTAAATTCTATTTAATGTTAACGTACAGCATCTGAGCTGGGAACTACAATACCACAGCAGTACTATTTAACGTGACATTAAAGTCAGATTTTATTTTTCCCCTTCCCAATCCTGCCATTAGGACTTACCTTAAATGCCTCTTGACTCGATCATCTTTACTGTCCTACTCAGCTGTCCCTCCAGTGCTGGTGCGAGTCTCCAATCCAGCGCCGACTCCTGTACTCACCTCTGATGTCCCACGGGGTCTGCAGGTGCACGCTGCTCCCTAGACTTGCCTCGTCTCTTGGCCGAACATCTGAAGTGCGCATGAGCCCACCCGAGACTACTGATGTTCAGACGGGAGCACACGGCGAAGACACAATGTAAGCTTAAACCCTTTTCAAAGTTTTGTTTAAAAGGAGAACTATGAGGAGTGATTTTTACTCAGCCTCATAGTTCTAGCCGACCTGTGACAATGAGACTGTCACAGGTCGGCTCAGTAGATCGGGAAGTGAGCAAACATACCGCGCTCGCACACTTCTCGATCCTGTGTCGTGAGGGACTGGATTCCCCGCTCCCCGCTACAATCCTCCAGCGCTGACTGGGAGAACGGACGGGGGAGTGGGCGGGTACAGCTGGCTCTGCCTCTAGATAGGCAGAGCCAGCTGTCACTCACACAACTGGGCGAATCCAGACATAATTGTCAGGATACCTTCCGGCTGCGGCGTCTCAGTATACTGCGAGCTGTAGCTCACGATATACTGAGCTTTGGGTGACGGGAGGACGCTAGTTTGTGTCCTCCCGTTACCCTTGGAGAACTATGGGGAAAAGCCATAACCCCATAGTTCTCCTTAAATTTTTTTGCATACATCTACTGCTTGCTAGCAATAGATATATGCAAAAACCACTGTGTGTTTAACCCTTTAAAGACATCCTATCGGACCATTAACTTCAAGTGTTTTCATATTATATATGCATTAAAATTATTGTATTCGTGTCATGTACCTCCCTTATGTAGACACTCAAAGCCCAAGAGCACCACCATCTTGAATAATATGTACAGACTTGTCACAGACTACAGAAATCCCCCTTCACTGCTCCCTGGCACCTAGATGAAAGGTTATCTAGTGAAGAATGGAGGGACATAGGATCTAGGCCAGATGTATTGTCATTTATAGAAGTGAAGTGTATGATAGCAAAACAGGGAGAAAGCTCTGCCAGGGAAAGTGTTAAAGTGGACCTTTACCCCTGTTCACTAAAAATCACATCAGCATGCAGCTTTGCGCACCAATTTGAAATCTTCCATTCATTGAACATTTTTTTTTCTTTCTTACAGCATTAATCTACTTTCTGGTCGACTTCGAGCACAAACTATGTAATGTGCCAAAGCTTTGCATCCTGGGAATCCTGGGCATTGCTAGGAAATCTCGAGATCTCAGGAAAGGCATTTTCCTCCCTTCCCTTGAGATGTGCATGGTCACATGTCCTAGTCACAAGTGCCAGAGTTACAGGAAGTAATGATATACTGTAGCAATCTGCCCTTAGTAAAAATGGCCGCTGTCAGACTGGGAAAGAAGATACAAGGTATGCAAGGAATAAAGCCAGCAATTATCTAGAAGTATGTTTGTAGATTGTCATTACTAAACATTTCTAAAGGTGCCTTTGTCATTTGAAAGATATGGGTAAAGTTCCTCCAAGTCTTACAATCCATGCATCCTGCTCACAGCCAATGAGTCATAGTAGACCTAAGCTACTCCGAACATGTTTTGACATGTCTAAAAAGTAGCATTAAAATGAAACTGAAGGCAACGCTCTCATTTGGGTGGAGTAGAGGAATGATGAAAACCTGCCAGGCCTCCCCTACATGTGCCCCTTTGGGTGAATTTTTCTCCACTCCCTATCCCGTAGAGACAACCAGAAGCAAATATGAGGGAAATCACCTCAGTTGTCACCATTGGGAGATTTACACTGAAATCTGGTACTGGTGGCCAGTGAAAATTTTGGTTTGTCCCTTACATTTAGGCCTGGCGACAGTGGCCACCAGGACAATTACAGAGTGGACAGAACTCAAAAACGTGACAAGAGTACCAGTCAAGTCTAGCCAAAACGAAAACTTCCACAAGTATATAGCACACGCTTGAGAACCAAATGTAGCCTTTAAACAGATCTGTGGCTTCATCTATATTGGGCAGCTTCAGTCAAATTTACTTATGCTGTACATTGCAATGCATGCATTCTCCTTTGAGAAAATACCGGTTGACCCTGCCAGGAACCCAATGGGGGGAATTTTTCAAAATTGGAGCAAACAATCTGGAGCATTTGTCCATGGCAACCAATCAGGATCTAAAGTTTCCTCTGTAGAGAATTTTAAATGAGAAAAACTGATTGGTTGCCATGCAATCTAGTCCAGATTTTTGCCTGCTCCAGTTTTGATAAATTCCCCCCATGTATTCCTAACTTGTTTGCACCAATAAACTGAAATCCACATCAGCCCAGAGGGGGCTGGTAAGAGGGACATAAGGGATACATGTTCTGTAGTTCAGAGAGCTTTGCAGGGCTGACCACACTGCACGGAATTTCAGGGCAGCAGAGGCACGTTGTCACAGACATTTTACTGCACTTCCAGCATTTTAATGGATAACGCATGGGAGGAGGATTTGCATGTATTGCAGAGATGTAATAGGTTTATTTTACCAAAACGTACACCTAGGGTAGCAGCACACCAGACAAGTCAGGGGACGTGTACCTTCAGTTATATATTGCCGCCTTCTTAGTGGACATTAACAGGTAAACAAATCTGACCCGCTACTTTACAGGAAGAAATGTTTCAAGAACCAATTTACAGGGGGACCACGGGGTATTTTGCATTAACTGTATATCGAGGAGCTTTGAAGGCATGGGAGGATTAAGAAAGAATCCCCAGGAAATGACTATGAAATCCATGTCATCTCTGAAGTCTGGGAACAGTCCCGTCCCTACGGTGAACCAGCTTATGTATATAAAGGGGCAGGCAGAACCATTTGCTGTCCATGTGGACAGCAGCAGTACTGGCTTCCTTACAGGTGCAGCTGGGATATAATACCGAAATCCTATAAGACCACATGTCACGCCTCAGGTGTTCCTGGGGTCTGTGGATATGAATAGCAAGGGTACAACATGTTCTCAATTTTGCTCCGCCTTATAGTACAAAAACCTAAAAATCCTTACAATGTGCTTCCATTTGCTTTGTTTTGTTCTTTTAAATATACCATTGGAAGATGTTTGTTGCATCTGATCCACAAATGCAAAAAATAATCCGCCAGAAGTCCAGTGATGCCTTATTGAAGGTAATGTTATCAGTCTTGCCTGGTTAGAGCTTATGGAGATAAGGGGAGGTGTTCTGTAGTCTCACTTGTCCTTGTTGTCAATGCTGCTTAATGGATACAGTAAAGTGAGCATTGCCACCCCGAGAGTGTGATACTCAGACTACCAGGTTAAAAAAGCCTGGAGACAGTTTACCTACGGCCAGCGGACAGGAGGTGGTTAAAAGAGAACTATGAGGCAAGTGATTTCCACTCATCCTCATAGTTGGAGCCGACGTGTGACAAAGAAGTGGTCACAGGTCGGCTCTATTGATCGGGAAGTGAGCAGAAACATGCCTCCGATCAGCTCACTTCTCAATCTCCCCCCAGTGACTGTCACTGTTAGCCGCAGGGATTCCCCGTTCTTCCACTTGTTCTAGGGCGAGAACCACAAAACAGCTCCTCCTCACCCTAACTTAGGAAGATGCTTAGTACTAGACCAGGCTGAGACAGCAAAGTTCAGAGGATTACTGGATTTATGGCTGGATCACCCGATATTTCTTGCACCCTTGACAAATTGTATATTTAACAGACCAAAAGGCAGCAATTAAGCCCATTGCTAGATTATATATATACACACACAAGACCAGGGAGGACAAAGAAGTCAGGAGCTGGTCTGCCCAATCAAGCAGCTAGCAGATTTCTTAAGGTGCCAGCTCCATTGACCCGAACTAGAGAACCTCAAAACGTAGGTGACAACTAATTTGAGGAGCACCGCCTACCAAGGATTGGTCCAGTCTTGCACTATGGTATACAGACTGTCCTGTTTTTAAAAAGTAGAAATAAAATTGGGATTGTGTAGAGTTTACGTGACAGCTGCTCTTAGGTTTCAATGTGTAAGATTTAGATGTCACTATGGTAAGCGAGACTTGTACATATCAGCCGACAGTCGTGAGAGGGCATCTCACATTTTCTGAGCCTTATAGTACATTGCCAAGAAAGGTGTAAGCGCGCTTTATATAAAGTAGGCGTCAGCCGTACCATTACACCCCCGCATCTCCACAAATGCCCTTCCATATTAATCCTGCCAGGTGGTGGCCATTGAGCACTACGCTCCAAACACATCCGCATCACACTACGCCAAAGCAGCATCAGCGCTGGCCTTAATGACTGGCTGACCCATTTCTGAGCAGGCACATGTGACATGATAAAAGGTTTCCCAGCACGTGTGGAGGGGGCAACACGGCACAGACAAGCTGGCACGGACACGTGAGGATTTAGGACAGCCAGTGCTGGGGACAAAGTGAAGGGGGGGGAGATGTTACAGAGGAATGTGCAGAGGTGGCAGCTCTCAGGAAGCAGCTGTATGATCCAGCCCCCAAGGCACAGGGAAAGTTATATAAGCTGCATTATTGAAGCATGAATGGTCAGATGAATTCATAAGGGAGCAGTCTGAAAACGCTGCGTCTTCTCAGTAGTGATGGAAGATACAGGGCATGACCGTCACACCTCAAAGCATACGCTGTAGCGCCATGATCACATTACTGGCTTTCAAAACAGGAATTTACAATACGTGGTAAATGCCCAGAGGCAACACTTCATTGAATGCCTTCAAGGCAGAGGGGATTAATAATGGATTCCTGAGCCAGAAAGATTTTTTGAATCCAGTGACAACTAGAGAGCCTCAAAAGTTAGGTGCCAACTCATTAAGAAGCATTGGCTACCCAGGTAGCTGCAAGGGACGGCCACAGTCAGAAGACCCAAACAGAGCCAGCAGCTCTTTGCCCGCAGCTCTGTTTCTTACCAGCTCCTTCGATCAGCTGATTAAGTTGCCCAAGAAGCCGGCCAAAATTGTACAGTGTGCCACCCTAAAGCTGGCCATATACCTGCCAAGAACCCATGTTCGATTCTAGCTCAAATAGCCCATCACACAGACCAATGTCTACTGCGATAATCGTTCGTTAGCAATACTAACTCACTAAATTACGTCGATCGACAGAACAGATTTTTTTTTGCGCATGTGCAGTGTTCTTGCTGCGATTTTGTTTGTACAAAAACACCACTAATCCATTGATTTTTTTTTGTACAACTCGAAAAACATTTTCAAGCCTGACCAATCGAGGAAACTCGGCCAGAAGAACAGCAATTAAAATAGTTTGTGTCCCATCAGCCGACCAATTATCATTGGAAAGACCATTCGTGGGAGATTTCCGAATGAAAATCGATCTGTGTATGGCCACCTCAAGTCCATAGGTACTGCACCTTGCACTGCTTAAGTGGCACCAGATGGACATTGAATAAAAATATGAAACTATAACTAGTCACGCCTTTAGTTATTTTAGGTACACAATGTCCACACAAGTCAAAGCTCCGTTTTAAAAACCTGGGGGGAATTTAAGAACCCATCTGTGTTTAGAGAATGTCGCATCTCTGATCCATGTGCATTTCTACCGGACAAATCCCTCCTGCGGTGCGCTATTTTGTACAGCGGTGCAGCTCTTTGCGACTATGAAACTGAAGTGTGACTTCAGCATTATTGTAACATAATTGCAAGAGCAGAAAGTCTCTGCAACTGAAATCTGCCAGTCACAATGTTGGAAGTGCTCTTGATCACTTATAGTACTATGAGGCGAGTGCTTTTCACTCACCTCCGTTGTAGCCGACCTGTGACAATGAGACTGTCACAGGTCGGCTCAGTAGATCGGGAAGTGAGCGAACACATAGCGACGTTCGCTCACTTCTCGATCCTGTCACGGCTCTCTGCCATGACAGGGGAGGGGCTGGATTCCCCCCTCCCCGATCCTCCAGCGCTGACTGGCGGAACAGACAGGGGGTGGGTACAGCTGGCTCTGCCTCTAGATAGGCAGAGCCAGCTGTCACTCACGTAGCTGGGCGGATCCCGGCACAATTGTCAGGATCCGCTTCAGCGTCTCAGCGATCTCAGCAATCTGTAGCTCGTGGTATACTGAGCTTAGGGTGACGGAAGGACGCTAGTTTGTGTCCTCCCGTTACCCTGAGAACTATGGTGGAAAAGCCCTGACCCCATAGTTCTCCTTTAACCCCTTCCTGACGGGAGACGTACAGTGTACGTCTTGTCACTTTGTGCCTATATGACTGGCCACGTACTAAATATATTTATACTATAATTAATATAAAAAAATTCAAAAAAAATAATAATAATCAAAACTTGTGAAAAAAGTGTTTTCTTCTAGTTTTCCTCATTTTTTTTATTTTATTCAAACTAAGTGAGGGGTTAGGTACACATATGTGATATAATGATATCGCCCTATCTGTCCTATAAAAAAACAATATAATATGTGTGGGTACATTTAGTAAGAAAGTATATTACTGACGTGGAAGAACCACACAGCAAAAATGTAAAAAATGTGTCAGTCATTTATGACCAGAACCTGAAAACTAGCTCAGTCATGAAGGGGTTAAGAGGAAGTTAACCCTTAGCTTTGAAATAAATACACCTTTAGAAATGTTTAGCAATGACGATCTATAGATATATTTCCATGCATACCTTATTTTTCTTTTCCTCAGCATTCATCAGAGGCCTTTACTAAGGGCAGATTAACCCATCTGCCTTTACTTCCAGGAACTCTGGCACATGCGACCATGCACATCTCAGGGGAGGAAAATTCCTTTCCATGAGACCTCACATTACAGATGATTTCTCAGTAACGTGATGTAAGGTTCCCAGGATGCACATCATCACTAATACTCTAGGGCACCAGGAAGTGGAAAACAATTGTAAATAAGAAAAAATTTTGAAATTTTGAATGCAAGATAATTTCATACCTGCATGCTGATTTTTACTGAAAGGGGTAAGGGTGTGCTTTAAATTAGTGCAAAGCAAGCACAAAGATCTATTACATTTATACAGATGCATGAATGGGACAAATCAACAGAGCTGTTGACGAAGGCTAGGTTCACACCTGCACTACACCCAGGACGCGTGTCCCAGGATCGCACGGACCTGTACAATGAAGGCAGCGATTGCCGCATGGCCTTATTGATATCAATAGGGTGACATCCACGTTGCAATCGCAGAAAAAAAAAAAAGGTACTTTTTTTGCAATACATGACGCGCTGCTGTTTTTAGACACGATCATGTTTGGAAGCACGGGCGGAATCGCAGTGGGAAACTGCACGACCGGGGTGCCATTAAAAAATTATGGCACCCACAGCGCGATCGGTTCACACCTTGGAGACTCCTGACCAAGCGGCAATCTGCTTGGAATCGTGCACGATCGCGGTGAGGTGTTGCCTAGGTGTGAACCTAGCCTCAAGCTTGTCTGCCCGTCAGTGCACAATCTCTTCCAAGACACAAATGATCCTGTAAAATCCATCGTGGACATAAGCAACTACATTGGGAGAAGGAGTTAGTGACATTAAACCCTCAGATTTTTTAACAAAATACTGTAATGTGCGCCTTACTGTAATCCATGGTTGTTCCCCTTCTCTTTGCTGCTCTTCCTTTTAAATCCTCATGTCTTCTCATGCTTGGGAAGAACTTCCCTTTTCAGCTCAGGGCCTCTTCCTGTAGTGCTGGCTCAGGTTTCAAGCCTATAGAAACGTACACCGTGTATCCATTCCTGAGACAAGGCAGTCTGCTGCAAAACAGAAGTTCTGCCCAGCATGAGAAGACGTGAGGATTTAAAAAGAGCAGCAACGAGATGGGAAACCACCATGGATTACAGTAAGGCGCACATTACAGTATTGCTTTATGTTAAAAAACCTGAGGGTTTAATGTCAAGTTAAATGTATTTTAAGACTTAAAGTAACTATTAGAAATGTATCCAATTTGTGTATCACTCGGCTGTAGATCCTCAAATCTCTGAATTGGTGCCGACACTGTCCCTTCTGGAGAGGGGATACTTTCATTCCCCATGGTCCCTGTGTGTGTTGTAAAGTAGTCACCGCTCCAAGCTCACTCCTGTGATGGACTACAATCTCACATTTAGTTAGCCAATTTGTATTGAGATTACAGTCCATCACATGAGTGAATTTGGAGCATGAAAAGGGTAGGGAGCTCATTCTACAAGTACCCCAGGGCCAAAATGACCAGTATTTACACATGTGCACATGGAGTCATAAGTAACAATAGTACAATGCCCAATATGGAGACTCTTGAAGGCACAGCTTTAAATGCCACACCATAATCCTTATATGCCACTACTTCATCATGCATTTATGAAGCCAGATGCCCAGCATCATAGCAGCAAGCATTCATTATGTCATCAATAGCTGTCAGTCCAAACAAAAGCTGCTACCGCTTGCAGGGCTGGACAACTCCCAGGAGGCAAATGGCCAACGCTCCTTAACAAGGGGGTTTAACACCGCGGATGTCAACTGGTTAAAAATTACAGCTGGTGCCTAACAGGGATTAGATGCCATTTGTAATTTTTGAGGAGCATTGGCCACCTGAGATTTGTCCAGCCCTGTCTTCGTTTTCAAAGAGCGCTCCGGCACTGTCGCCAGTACTTCTGATGGAGACTACAAGTGGCCATTTCAACACATTTTGCAGGCATGGTCCACTAGTCACCAGCTTCGTAACATGGTCTCCAGCAATAACTGAAAGGTAATGTGAATTGGCTACAAATCAGCATTACTGAGATGTAACCGAGGATATATGAACAATGCTAATTGTTTATGACTCAATGCTTTAGCCAACTCAGGTTCACATACTAAACGGAGCAGACAGTGACAGGATGAAAGTCACAAGATGCACATGCATGGCGGCTCACCGTACAATACAATCCAGGATCACTGATCAAGCCTCTTACCAGAGCAATGCCTCAAGCAGCACAAGTGACTTGGTCCATTCGAGTCTCCAGCTCAAACGCATCCGGCCGATCCTGAGGATTAGCGGCCAGCATGTCCTTAAGCAGCTGCCGGATGCCCTCCGACATGGAAGTCCTGCGTTTCTGTGGGATGTGAAGTTCCATCTTTGGATTTTCTAGCAATGCCTCCCCTACAGGCACAATCTCACTGCCTTGCTTGATGTAAGTGCCCAGCAGCTCCTTCTTGGTCTCCGCGTCCACAAAGGTGATGCGCTCAATCATTGCCCACATGATTATGCCCAGGGCAAATATGTCCGCTTTAGCCGTGTAGTGACCCTCCCACACCTCAGGAGCCATGTAAAAGTCAGAGCCGCATGCCGATGACAGCCAGTACTTGTTAACGTTCACAGTCCTGTTCTCATTCACTCCCTCTGCTGTTAAGTCCTTCCCTCGGGGAGCCAGCCCGGCACATACCTTGCTGAGGCCAAAGTCTGCTACCTTTAGTACAGGGTAGCCTGAGAGTTCAGTAATCAAGATGTTATCGGGTTTTAAGTCCCTATGTACGATCTGGTTCTTGTGCAGGAAGGCGATGGCACTTGTCAGCTGCAACATAAAGCTTTTGTTGGTTGCGGGGTCTGGCCGTCTGGATAAGATGTACTGATTGAGATCACCGCCTTCACAGAACTCCATGACAAACCAAAGGTAACAGGCTTCTTCCGGAGAGCCAAACAGTCGTTCCCCTGCAAACAAGGAAGGTAAGGGAAATGATTAAGTCAAATATTTAGCATAGTGCAATCCAACAAAAGCAGCTGCCATTTGGCTTGACATAGTCAGGTGACTACTAGTCTGTCCCCTTTGGGAAGATTTCCGCTTCCTGTCCTGATGACCACACAAGGGCAAACCTTCGCAACAGCAATTGAGAAACCTGGGAGATCATTCTTTTTACACTCAAAACCTAAAAAGTGATCAAACCTAACATGGCTACATATTTTAAATGATCACAAGCAACAGATTTTACCTTTAGGAGAGTCTTCATGCATTGGGTCCTTAAAGCCTTTCCTCCATGGAAAGCTAGGGACGTGACGTCATGACAGCTATTTGTATTTACACATTAACCTGGGGGATTATCAGCTCACTGGGGTCTCTGCTATGCACTGATAGATGCCAATTATTGGCAAGCCTCATCTCTTCCTAGAGCTCAGTCTACAGCAGGATGGGCCAAATCAAAAATTTGCTAAAGCTGGAAGTCAGCCGACAGCAGGCAAAGGTCAACGTTAGTCACTGTAGGTGACAGATGAGGTAAATTTACCTTCTGCTCCAACAAGAAGCAGGAGAACATTCCCAACACAACTGCCTCTAGGGACAAAAGAGATGTTTACATGTCTGCTGCTACTACAGCAGCCGCTAGAGAGTAGCAGTGAAATGACTGACTCGGCTCTCCAAGCGATGAGGCTTTCCCAGTGATAAAGCAAGCAGGTTACAGATCAGACTGAAGAATGATGTCTCGTCAGGGCTTAACCTGAACGGAGTGTACATGCTCTGTGTGGCTAACACATCACCTGTGTTACTGGGTCAGGTCAGCAGCCACACAGCCAGACCAGATAATCCTTCCGTCTTACACCTAATGACAGTGTAGCTCAGCAAACCATGAGATGTGTAATTAGCAAATCTTTCAATTGGGATGCACATTTTTCTTGAGTGGAAAAATGCACATGAGTTCCACACCTTGGAGCCATCTTTAGAGGATTTAGTCAAAACCTGCTGATCTACCCCCACATTGTTACAAGCCAGGGACATCTGGCAACATCTCTAAAGCGCCCCATAGACAGGTAACAGGCTACCAGTTGGCTTGAGTAGGAGACAGTTTGAGGTTTCAGCAGAAACCACTAAGCGAGGCTTGTGGGAGACGACCAGTTGTAAGACAAATGCTCTGATAGCGGAACTTGCAGTCAGAGGGAGACTCGTTCTGACCGGCAGTGCTGCAATGGAGTGTGGAACTTGCTTTCAGGTCATGACCCGTCTCCCAGCCTCCCGATTGGCTAGGAAGGTGGATTTACTCTGCCTAGCAAACACTGCCAGGCAGCCTGGCTCGATTTTGAAAATAATCGTTAGCTGCAGCTCTACTGGCTTCCTGACAAATCAGGAAGCCAGGCTGCCTCGCAGTGTGGCGAGGGAGCACAAAGCTGGTGTTTTTTTTTTAGAGAAACTCGATTAAGAAAAATGTCCCACGTTTCTCATGACTATTCAGCATGGAGCCGGCTTGCTGGCCAATCATGGAAGCCAGGCGCCGTGTAAAGACTCGGCACCCTGCTTCCTGATTGGCCGGCTCAATGCTCCCTCGTCATGAGGGAGCATGAAGCCGGCTTCCCGGCCAATCAGACTGCCGGGTGCAGCGTCATTACACGGCACCCTGCTTCCTGATTGGCCAGCTTACCGACCAATCAGGAAGCCGGGCAGCACATCATTACACGCTGTCCGGCTTCCTGATTGGCCGGGAAGTCGGCTCCATGCTCTCATCACAAGTAACGAGAGCATGGAGCCGATTACCGGCCAATCAGGAAACCGGGCAGCGTGTAATGACGCGCTGCCCGGCTTTCTGATACAGGAAGTATCAGGCTAGCCATCGGAGCATTTGGGCGAGTACGAGTACCCGTCCAAATACTCGGTATCGATACTGGTATAGGTGCATCCCTATTAGGAAGTAAGGGGAATCTCACCAATAGAGCCCCAGGTATCCATAAGAACCATCCCTTAGTTGAAAAGGTTCAGGCTGAAACAATGCCAAGGGGCAACAAACCACTTCTAGTAGAAATCACATCAAGGCAGCCCCTGCACAAGTCACTACCCACATACAAGCAATGTTCCTTAAAACAAGGAAAATGGATTTGTACATATGTGTGTTATTAGATTCCAGTTCCTATCCTCAGTTAGCATTCCCTTGGCTCTATTCCCACTACTGAGACATGACAGGCCCCAGGGAAAACCTGCCTGTAATTAGTCCCCAGCAACAGTCACTCATATCGCAGCATAATCAGCAAACAAAGCAGGGCCATGCCCCTCCTGAAGAGCCTCTTCCACATCAGCTACCAGCTGATCCACAGACCACACCAGCAGCTTGTTTGGATGCAATAAGAATTTTGCAGCACATGTGAAAGCATTTCCTGTAACGACCCCAAACATGTATCCCCTACCCCACTGTTTAAAGGAGAACTATGAGGTGAGTGCTTGTCACTCACCTCATAGTTCTAGCCGACCTGTGACAATGAGACTGTCACAGGTCGGCTCAGTAGATCGGGAGGTGAGCGAACATATACCGGCGTTCGCTCACTTCTCGATCCTGTCACAGCTCTGCCGTGACAGGGGAGGGGCTGGATTCCCCCTTCCCCGATCCGCCAGCACTGACTGGCGGATCGGACGGGTACAGCTGGCTCTGCCTCTAGATAGGCAGAGCCAGATGTCACTCACGCAGCTGGGCGTATCCCGGCACAATTGTTGGGATCCGCTTCGGCGTCCCAATATACCGCGTGCAGCAGCTTGCGGTATACTGAGCCTAGGGTGACGAGAGAACGCTAGTTTGTGTCCTCCCGTTACACTGGGAACTATGGGGAAAATACTTAACCCCATAGTTGTCCTTTAAACCCAACAATATTACTTTAAGGCAAGCAATACATAAACTTGGAGGCGGCCATTGCTGGCCTTCTGAAATATTAAACGTCTGACTCTCTGGCTTTAATACCTATTCATGCATCTAGCATGTGAGGTCATCGGAAAGGTCACCATTCTATGGCAGCTCTCAAATTGGTCAACTCAATTACTAGTGGGGGTAAAATTAAAATGGCCCATGAATATTTACTCCCCCATAAACACACTGCTGAAAATAAATCAGCAGACTGAAGCAAATGGTATTTTAAGTGACTGTCACCAAAAAGGGCAGAGCTATAAAAAAACCTAGATTTACTTTTCCGTGTCTTGATATGCCATTGCTTCACTGATATCCGGCCTCTGCAGGTATTCAACCCGTGCTACACTCGAGATTCTAGTAGGACTGAGCTACACGTGTCTTGTTGCTTCAGCCAATTCATTGTCAGATTTGTCTGTTGCCCACAGGTCCCCCAGTGGTCAGCATTGCAGAACTAAGAGGGGACTTCCCCAAGGAGACAGAAGTAAAAAGAAATCAGGGGTTTCATCTCAGTTTTAGTTTCATTGACTAGTACCCCAAGGCACTTACGCAGGAGACAACTTCCTACTCTTGCCCAAAGCATTACCTTTTGCACTGGACAGCACATGACTGCATTCTAGCGACCACCTTAGGGAAACAAACCCGTATATCTCTCCAATGGACAGCTGGACATTTACATTAAAGGAATGAGGTCTCAGAGGTCTCCAGACCTATCCCGATGCATTCAATCTCCTATGATGGAAGGCCCAACTACCTGATCTGTTATGCAAGAAAACTGGATGACCACACCAGCCGTCCAAACTCTATTTACATAAGAGCATCACAAGTGATGAACTGAGGCCTCTGGTGTGTTACATGCACACAGGAGCTGAGTCACAGTCTCCATTCTACCACTTGAGGTAGTGCGTCAGGCCTGTGTCCATCCAACAAGCTAGACTTTCCAAAATACTGACACTGAGGCCAGGCTGGTATATTCCACAAACCATGCCCAGGGTGGGAGAGTCCTGGAGTAAAAAGACAGAATTAGAACACACTATAATCCCTTCCATGAGCCCTGCAAACAGGGTGGCAGAGGTTTGCAGGACCCCACCCTTCCCTACACAAAGACTGTATTCCACAATCCCCGACTGTGAATATAGCAGCCCTGAGATAGTCAGGACCGGGCAATGTAGACTTTGGTCATCCAAGAAGTAGGAGCAAGGCTTGTGGCATATGCCAGGTGTTGGGGACAATGGGCACTGCAGGCCTCCTTAACAGACTCAAATTGGGGGGCAAAGCCGCTGTTAGGGAAGGCCTTGCTACACAGGAGCAGCACCTAGACTCAGAACTATAGACTATACCAGAGGTCACGTGACTGGAAAGTAGAGAGCTTGGTTACGCCAAGCAGTGACCAATATCAAATATGTTAAGACAACACTGTACACCTTAAAGGAGAACTATGAGGTGAGTGCTTGTCACTCACCTCATAGTTCTAGCCGACCTGTGACAATGAGACTGTCACAGGTCGGCTCAGTAGATCGGGAAGTGAGCGAACACATACCGGCGTCCGCTCACTTCTCGATCCTGTCACGGTTCTCTGTCGTGACAGGGGAGGGGCTGTATTCCCCCCTCCCCACCAGCGCTGATTGGCGGAATGGACGGGGGAGGGTACAGCTGGCTCTGCCTCTAGATAGGCAGAGTCAGCTGTCACTCACGCAGCTGGGCGGATCCCGGCACAATTGTCAGGATCCGCTTCGGCGTCTCAGTATACCGCGAGCACAGCTTGCGGTATACTGAGCATAGGGTGACGGGAGGACGCTAGTTTGTGTCCTCCCTTTACCCCAACTATGGGGAAAAGCTTTAACCCCATAGTTCTCCTTTAACACACCAATAGCAGTGCCCAGACCCCAAGAATGTGGAAAATCACTGGAGTGCTCAGGAATTGTGGGATATACCAATTGAGTCTGGGGGGAACATAGCCACTGCAGAGCTTAACTTAGTTAAGCCAAAGCTCAGATTGTGAGGCGCTAGAACTCCCCATGAGCAGTGCCCAAAGCTAAGGGTTTGTTGGAGACTCCAAATGTCAGGCGACAGAAGTGCAGACTTAGCCCAGGATACTGGGGTATACATAGTCAAGGATGAGCACTGTACCCCAGTAGTGCCTAGGCTGAAGTAATGTGACATTCAAGCTGCTGAGGGAATGCTAAGCAGCACAGGATTAAGGGTATCCAAGTAGTAGTACTCAAGCTCAGGAATTAAGAGATACCAGATGGGGCAAGGGATGCTGGGGCATTGCAAGCCTTGGTATCCCAGTGGCAGAACCCAGGCTCTGGTGTTGTGGGATTACCATTGCAGACAATGGTTACTCTAGAAGCAGAGATTGCAGAACATACCAAGGTGTGAAATGCACAGTTGGCATAGCCTACAATACATAAGCAGCGCTACTAAAGTAACCCAAGGCCTACAGTGCCCAGCCACCTCCATCACAGACATGGTATATCCTACTACCATGACCCTGGGACAACCAAGGTCTGCAGTGCCCATGTACCCTAGACAGGGTATATTCCACACACCCTTATCCTGGCATAGCCAAGAACTGGAGTGCCCAGCCATCCCCATCACAAACATGGTATCCTACAAGCCCTAATCCTGGGATAACCAAGAACTGTAGTGCCCAGCCACCCCTACCAGTGTATACTCATCACCCCCTGATCTGGCATAGCCAAGGGCTGCAGTGCCCAACCACCCCCATCAGGGTATACTCAACACCCCTCTGATCCTGGCATACCCAAGGCCTGCAATGCCCAGCCACCCCCATCACATGCATGCTATATCTCACAACCTCTGACATTGGATACCCAAGGCCTACAGTACCTAGCCTTCCCCCATCACATGCATGGTATAATGTACAATCCCTGATCCTGGGATACCCAAGGCCTGCAATACCCCGCCATCCCTACCCCCGGCCATTATGCAATGCTCACACATCCTGCACAGCCAGCCTGCTCAGCTGACAGCTCCAATCCCCGGGCTCCCCTGACACACCCCCCTGGCAGGCCCCAGACAGTCTCACCCTTCAGGGAGGCCTCCACCAGCCTCAGGTATAGTTGGCTGTTCTTGTTTCCGTGGCTCATCTTCTGGGCCAGGGCGTTCCTCTGCAGGACGCACTCCTCGAAGCGGACGATGTTGGGGTGGCGTCGTCGCAGGCTGGTCAGGGCCCAGAACTCTGACAAGGCCAGCTCCACGTTCTCCGGTGCGTCGCAGCGGATCTTCTTAACGGCCACCCGGGCACCGCTCTTCCGGGCCACCGCCTCGTACACCACGCCGTAGGTGCCCCGTCCGACCTCGGCCAGCAGGCTGTAGCGGGGACGGGAGACAACTACGCCGGGGGGCCTAGGGCTCGCCTCTTCCTTCTCCACCTGCTTGGCTCCCTCCTCCTCCACGGGCCGGCAGCTGCCGTTCACAGTGAGGGGGGCGGGGAGGCGTTCTCCCAGGGGCCGCCGGCGACGCTTCCGCTCGGAGCTCTTAATGACTTCCATGGCCGGACCTCATCGCTAGTACGGGTGACAGTGCAAGATCACGGCGCTCCGTTGTAAACGACAGTTGTAGGGAGCGTTATTTGTCCGAGCCCTCCCACAGTCCTGACCTGCAGCCTGGCCTGCCGGTTCCTCTTATACTGGAAAGTGCTGCAGCCACTGAGATGGGTTATAGAATGGGTTGTACCATTACAGTGTAACTCAAAGGGGGGCTATACGCTTTCATTATTTTAGTCAAACCCACACACACCGAACTCAGCCTGATTTCCATACCCTGCGTAATTGTCATAACATTTCTTCCCTTATATATTGCTATTACTTCCCAAAAAAGACAATTAGAAGCTAGAATAAGTCTTAAAAAACAAATAAGTCTTCCCCGTTCAGATGGCACGCTCCAGAGAGGGGCGAGTGTAAACACTGCCTGGCGGAGCGATCCAAGCACCCCGGGAGGGGTGGTCGAGAGTCACATGTGCCGGTAAGGCGTAAGCTCGTGTTATTGTTCACCCGCCGCGGCGGAAGAGATGAGAGGGTGGATTTACATGGCACGGAAAAAGCAAAGGTACGACGGGCGTAAGAGTGTGAAACTGTGGGTTCGCCTTCCCCTATTTCGCAGTTGGATCGACCCGCTTGGTGATCTTCAGCACGTCACGTGGTCAGAAAGCGCGCCCTCGGCGACTGGAGGCGGTCACGTGGTGCGTTATGAAAGGAAGAGAGTGACAGATGGCGGGAGTGAATTGTGACTGAGAGGCTGCTATCTCAGGCTGACATAGTGAGGAGGCCGCTTGACTACAAGGCTCAGCATGCCACGTCATTTTTCAACCTCCTTTAACTGTAGTTGGGTAATGGTGAAGTTCCTGTCAGATTTTTGTCATGCCATCGGTGTTTCATTGGGGGGGGCATATCCCTTTACTTCCTGTCCTGGAGAGTGTCCAGGAACTGAGAGGAAATCTCCCTCCACCTGAGACAAATGCCTTCTTAGTCACTGGGCAATGCCTAGAAATGTATGCGGTGGACCTTTCCAATAATAATAAACAGGCCTTCCTATTCCTGCCTTTTGTTGTGCTGATTTGGGCCCAGCCACACCAGGGCGTCGTGTGTTCCCGCATTTTTGGCAACGGCAACGCAAGTGTGTATCACATTTGTGCATGTGTTGACGCATGCACATTTGAGGTGCGTTCATGATACGCCCTGATGTGAACGGGGGCTTTATGGCTGCATGGCACAGGTTGGCAACAGTTCCCACACGTTTCATGTACCATTGAAAGCATTATGTTCTATCTCTTTCTTAAAAGCAACAACAACAAAAATGTTGATCCCGCCAGAAATGTCGAAGACTTTTCACTTTCCCTTCTCATCTTCCATTGTACTGTTAGCTAGCATTGTTCCCAGGTCTTATCATAGGGCTTCATTATTAAAGTCGCTAGCGCCCCCAAATGGCACTGACAGGTATAAGAATTTCCTGCACTCGTAGGTGCCAGCGTGGACGGCATTGGCCGGGTGGACATTTTTATAAATGAAGCCAGCAATGCAAGGGGTAGGCAACCTCAGCGCTGCAGTTGTTGAGGAACTATAAGGCATTGCAAGACTCTGACAGCCAAAGGCATGACTCCCAGGGACATAATTTGGATTTGTAGTTACACTGAGGTTGCTTACCCCTGCCATAGTGTTTACATCAGTTTTTGCCGCTCTGTTCAGCACCACCCTGCAGCGGTGGATCACCACTATAGCAATACATTGAAGACTGCAATGGTAAAAAAAAAAAAAGTAGAAAAATAAATACCCTGTTTCCCCGAAAGTAAGACCTACTCTGACAATAAGACCTAGTACTATTTTTGGGAATTGCTAAAATATAAGACCTACCCCGAAAATAAGACCTAGTTGTGACCATTCCCAGGGCCGGTGGTGGCATAAGGGGGAACTTGAAGAGCCACGGGAGAGGCAGGAGAGAATCAGCGGTGACAACTAAGCCAGCGCTAGAGGAAGCGAGGCGGCAGCGGACAGAGCAGAGCCGCATAAGCCGATGCTTCCTCTATAGCAGTGGTCCCTGGCCGCGGACCGCTACCGGTCCGTGGATCAAATGGTACCGGGCCGCCCAAGGAACATTAAATTATTTCCATTTTATTTACTGTGGTGTATTTCTCTCGGGTTTGTCCGACTTTCCAGGACGAGAGGTTAACCGGGAGCTGAGAGACGTCACCTAAAGCTGCACCAATACCGCGCATGCGCAAAATATCGTGATATCGGGGCGGTTTTAGGTGACGTCTGGAGCTGAGCGGCTGCAAGCGGCAGTGGCGTTGTAGCTTTGGTAAAGAGAAGGTGTGTATCGCTCTTCTCTCTGTTCACCGGTACTTTCTCATGTTTAACAGTGCTTGGTGTATGTGTATATTGTGTTTGCTCAAATTTAACCCACAAATTAGCAAAAATGAGTACGAAACAGACGTCGTTAGAAAGTTTCCTTGGGAAAAAGAAAAGGCCCAGTGAAGAGACAGAAGAAGGGCCTCCAACATCAAAGAAACATGTAACTTTTAACAGACAATACCATGAGTCCTACTTGAAATATGGATTTATCGGGACAGGTGATTCCCACACACCAGTGAGTCAAAATGTTAAATCACTTTATATTCATTTTTTGGTGTAACTGTATTTTATTTTGAAGGCATGTTTAAATACAATTAAATTACAATTATTAAATCAAAACAATCTAAAATATAAACAATCAACCCCCCTCCGCGGTAAAATTATCAAACGTTGACCGGTCCGCGGCGATAAAAAGGTTGGGGGGCACTGCTCTATAGCGCTGTCTCCTGTCACAGGCGGAGTGATACCAAATGCTCTCCACCTGTGAGGAATCGATAGTGAAAGTGCGCTTCGCCCATTCTGGCCAGTGATTGGTTACCAAATTGCTCTTGGAAAGGTACGACACCCCTGATTGCCCTCACTGCATGGATTCCCCCCCGCTGACTGGCGGAACGGACGGGGGAGGGGGCGGGTACAGCCAGGTCTGTCAGCCAGCTGTCAATCACGCAGCTGGGTGGATCTCAGCAGTAATGTCGGGATCCGTCCCGGCTGCGGCGTCTCAGTATACCAGGAGCTGTAGCTTTCATTGTCACAGATCGGCTGGAACTATGAGGATGAGTGAAAATCACTCGCCTCATAGTTCTCCTTTAAAAGTCAGAATTCTGACTTTTAATCTCAGAATTCTGTTTTTAAAAATCTGACTTCCAAACACAGAATTTTGACTTTTAAACACAGAATTATGTTTCAATTTTTTTTTAGCATGGCCCCGGGGCTCTTCCATACAGAGGTCACAACCTGGAGACAGGTGGATCTTTTTTCACTGTATCAAATCGCTATACACACACCTGTGGAATCTAAGTATTAACAAACAAAATCTGGAGCAGCTGTGCCTGGCAACCAATCAGCTTCTCCCTTTCATTTTCAAACCTAAACTGAAGAGAGAAACTGATTGGTTGCCGTGGACAACTGCTCCAGAATTTGTCTGCTCCAGTTTCGATAAATTCCCCCCATAGGGAATTTAACGGCAACATGGGAGCCATCTGATTGGCCAGAAAAGTCACATGCCGTAAAATTTGTGTTCAGCATATACATATAATACTAAAGCTGAGGCTCCTAGACCCGTTTGGCATTCGTGATCCGAATTTCCAAACTGCATTGGGGAGCTCCTGAATGCAATTTGGAAATCCGGATCCCGAATGGCAAACAGGTCTAGGAGCCTCAGCTTTAGTAATACATGTATATGGCTCGCAGACCTGAATGACATTCGGGAGCTCCCGCATGCAATTTGGAAATTCGGGTGCAGAATGCCATTTGGGTCTGGGAGCCAAATACATGTATTACTAAAGCTGAGGCTCCTAGACTCGAATGGCATTCGGGATCCGAATTTCCAAATAGCATGTGGGAGTTCCCGAATGCCAAGTGGGTCTGGGAGCCATATACATATATTACTAAAGCTGAGGCTCCCAAACCTGAATGGCTCCCAAACCTGAATTCGGCATCCGAATTTCCAAATTGCATTGGGGAGCTTCTGAATGCCATTCGGTTCTGGGATACTCAGCTTTAGTAATATATGTATATGGCTCCCTGACCCGAATGACATTCGGGAGCTCCCGCATACAATTTGAAAATTTGGATCCCGAATGCCATTCGGGTCTAGAAGATTCAGCTTTAGTATTAATATCTGTATATGATTTTATGTGGTAGTCGTGATGAATATACGTTTGTAAACTACTCAGAAACTAACGAAATTCGGATTCCGCCTGAAACCTGACCCGAATGGCATTCGGGAACTCCCACATGCTATTTGGAAATCCGGATCCTAAATGCCATTCGGGTCTGGGAGCCTCAGCTTTAGTAATATATGTATATGGCTCCCAGACCCGAATGACATTCGGGAACTCCCGCATACAATTTTGAAATTCGGATCCCAAATGCCATGTGGGTCTAAGAGCCTCAGCTTTAGTATTAATATCTGTATTCAGTTTTATGTGGTAGTCTTAATGAATATACATTTGTAAACTCATCCGCAACTAACGAAATTCCGCCCGAATCCAAAACCCGAACCGAATTGAATTTCGTACCCGAATTCCTAAATAACCAAACAAAATTTTTCCGCAGCTTACATGTCTACTCTTTGTATGGCACTATCGCCACTAGATGGTGCTGAGGAGAATAGAAAGTTTCTATGCTCCCTCGGTGCCATCTAGTGGACTGGCTTGCTAAGGGATAACACAATCATGCAAACCAGGGATGACCAAACTCCGGCCCTCCAGCTGTGGTGACACTACATATCCCATGATGCATCTCTCTCCGGGAGTCATGTCTGTGGCTGTGAGAATCTTGCAAAGCCTCATGGGATTCGTAGTGCCACCACACCTGGAGGGCCGCAGTTTAGACATCCCTGATGTAAACCCTGTTCCCGATCAGTAGCAGTCTGTATTTTCTTAACATATATACACATGTTGTCTTTTACAGATCAGCCCACCTGCTGCCTCTCACTTTGTAGGCT